CCCTAACAGTAGTAGTGGTGAGGCAAAGTTAAATAGCTTTCTCCCTTAATGTCTGTCTAGTTGTGCATTTATTTACCATGATCTAGGGTTCATTTATGTAAAGCCTATTTAAAAAAGCCAGACATATGGAGATGTTAATAGGATGGATGTTACACTGATTATTTTAGAAGTATTCTGTCAATCTAGAGGAATGCATTCTCCTTGAAGAATTATTTCATACATGCAGAATGCATGAAAAACAGTACAAGTGGAAGTCATATTTTTGTAAATGTGGGCCATAGTCTGGTTGGATTGCTTTCAAATGTGGAGGGATCATGTCCCCTCCACATATAATTATGTATATGCCATGTATAAAAGTGTCTTAATGGGCTTTAAAGATCTGACCCACATGCAGAGAACCACCCGAAGACCAAGGATAAAAGTTAACTGGTTTATTGTGGGTTAGCAAAAACACAGATGGAGAGACGTATTCTGCTGGGTAATACTGTTGGACCTCAGGGGACTGGTGAACCGGAACCAGAAACTCTGAAGGGGTGATCACAATGATATATTCAGGGACCATGGGAAAAAAGACAGAGGCTTCTATAATGCTTGAGAGGCACTCACATTTTGGGGGGATCTTGGTTATTTCTTGGATCCAGTTTGTGGGGTTAGATCCAGAGAAGAAGGAATTTGTTGGGAGGGGACAGGCAGACTAACCTAGTTTTCCAGAGGTGGACTTGAACGGATCATGAGGAGGTTTCCCCTTGCTCAGTGTGACTCAGATAATCCTTCCAAAGGGGTAGATGGTCCAGGCTTATCCAGTGTTTCAGAAAGGCTTCCTGCTGAAGGACAAAGACAAAAAAAGCTTAGACTCAGAGAGACAAGACTAAGGTTAGACTCTGCTAATCTCAGTATAGCTAGCATGCATTGCACTGGCAAACACTCTGGCGTCGAGGTAGTGACAGCCCGCTGCTCAAATACTCCTCTGGTAATGACCCAACGAGCTGCAGGTGTGCAAGGAGGCCCAGCGAGGCGAGGGTAACATATGGTGGTGGAGAGAAGAAAAACACAAAAACAACCCACAAATGTTGGAATCCTATCAAAAAGGGAAATTATCTAAAGGTCTTTTAAGAATTAGTGCAAATAAAATAAAAATAAAATCACGGCCATTGGTTTTCAAACCTCATCAGGAAAAACTTTGTAGACCCAACTTTTGCTGCAAAGATAACTGCTACTCTTTTTGTGTAGACACCCTCCATCTTCATACATGAAGACCGGAACTTATGTCCAGTAGTTTATTTATTTATTTCTTTTTGCACCAAAGCATCATGCCACCACGTTTGCTGTATTGTGTAGGGCAGGTGTCACCATCCCTTTTACAGCTGAGGGCTAATTCAGTCATAGGAAGGGCTACCAATACTGACCCATCAACTGCAAGGGACAGCGTTCACCTAAGCTTTGTACATTATAAACATATTTTTATTGTTTCTTTTAATTTCTAATTTTCTTTTAGACAATTTCATTTTGAAATATCTATAAATGCTTGAATGCCATCTACAATTAATATAACAAAATGCTATATAAATGATTAAAAAAAGGAGAGCAACAGAATACAATAACATTTCAAACCCAGCCCACTGGCGAGTTGTTCTATTTCCAGAAGAATCTTGATGGTGGTTCTTGATGGCCCCTTGGTGCCCACGGGCACAACATTGGTGACCCCTGGTGTAGGAGGGGTGCCATTTAACCACAAGTGTGCATTCCTATTAATGAGCTAATTGAGTAGGTTGGTTTTTGCAAATATATTACGATTTCCAACAGATTTGCAGCATTTTTTGGTTGGTTGAACAATACAAAAAGAGAGACAGAGACAGGAGGTCAAAAGGGGTGGTTTCTGTGACTTTTTTTTTACCACCCAGAAGTTTAGTCTTTATTTTTCTTTTACTCAGCCAGGCCAGTTAGCAACACTTCCTGAAGTAAGTTCACCGGTTAAACAGAGGGGACCAGTAAAGGGCTGCAGCCCTCCCACATGTGTCCTAGGAGATTGTGCATGTGTGTTATGTTAAACCAGACACAGCCTTGTGGCTTCTATGGGGATCAGTTTTACTCTGCTGCTCACAGTGTGATCCAGCTGAGTGGGTGAAAGAGAGAGAAAGAGAGGGAGAGAGAGAGAGAGAGAAAAACAGAGAGAGAGAGAAAGGGAGCCACACTTTGTCCCTCACTCCAAGCTCCTCCAGCAGCTCAGGCCGATATTCTTGGCTTGGATGCAGCACTCATGACAGGATTAGGAGCCTGTGACACGGGACCAACCGGAGATCTGCAGGTTCTAATACTCGAACCCGGGCCAGATTCTGACCCTGCACGGGTAGGACTGAAATCTTTATTACTCCACAAAAAAAAACGCCTTTGGACTCTGTGCTATAGTTATTCAGTTGAAAACGGCAGTTAATCTGAAAATTATTGCTCAGTCATGTTTCAACATGCATGATGAAAAAAAACTAACAGCTGCACCTAACAGCTTGTATTGAGTACTGTAAGATGCCAAAAATACTAATGCAAAGCTATGGCAATTTATTTTTGTCATAAAATCTTTGCCTTCTTACATTATTGCTCCTTGCAATTTGGAATGCATCTGACTCATTCATTGGAAATAGTAAAAAATAATTGCTTATGTTGCCTTTTGAATTATCCATAATGTCTAAAAATGCACATATATATAAGTGGATTTAAAATGAATTATCTTCTATTCTGAACCAGACTTGATTTGATTTGTGACAATCAGAATTACTTCATTTAATTTTCCTCCTGCGTTTAAATGTTGTAGAGGATTTGCCCAGCTTATTTATTTTAGTAACCAACTAGAAGGTGGTCCATTTAGACTGCCATGACAGACATATCCAAGAACCTCATTTGTCACAATTACATTTTTTCCACTTGGAAACCTTCCGTACTGTCAATAAGCATTTCTGGAAGGGAGTCCTCTCCAGATGACCCATTTCTATTAAATAGACAGATGGTTAAAACTATATAAATAGTTAGAAAAGACTAGAAAATTAAAAGTATTAGCATATAAGCTGCAACAAACTCAAGAGTAACACCAACCAACACTGCAACATGTTTTACTACCTAGTCGTGTGTATTTACAGCACACTGGAGTGTTACATGCTTCTTTGTAGTTTTCAGATGAACTCCAAGCTCAAGCAGCATGGAACAAGAGCACCATGTGGTTTCACTCTGCACCGAATAAAGGGGGGAAGACAAACTTGCTTAACTTGCAATTGTGCTCAGATTGTAAGGAGAAGAAGCCCTTTCACTGGAGTTTTTGCTGCTTCAGCTTGCCACACTGACTTTGGTTTAGGGGTTCTTCTCAGTGTGTGTTTTCCATGCAGATGTCTGGCACTGACCCAAAAAGCAGTTGATACAACTTTGCGGTTTGGATGGGGGAGAGGTTGTGTCTGTTTAGCATTGCATGGCAGCTTTTTTTTACCTTTAGAAAGGAGTTTTAAGAAAAGCTTGGAGTTTGATAGAAATATTGATAAATATGTTTTAAAATGTTTAGCTGATTTAAATGCTCTTTGCTCACGTACAATCTATGCTGACGTAAAAGTGGTAGTGTTTGAAGCATTGCGAGTGCCACAAAAAAACAGGAAATTTGATTTTATGCAGATCCAAGAACTTTAACATGTTTTCACCAGACAAGTCTACCTCTCAGAACCTCACTGGCAAATGTAAACTAAACTTTTCTGACTTTTTTTTTTCTCTGCTGCAGAGGTGAACTTTTCTGGTTTCAATTAGACTCTCATGGATGTAAGAGCACTCTCTTGAATGCTGCTAATGCACAGAACACGTGTGTTAGGCATAACCCCATGTTCTGTCTGCAGAGCCTCAAACAGAAACAGAACTTTTTCCCATAAGTTTTTGTCCCTTTCTATTTGTTAAAACATTTTGTCTTTGACAAACGCTACATTGCAAAAGTATTCCTTACCTGTTCAAATGTTGTCTTATTGCCACCACAGTGTTGAATATCTGTATTTTACTTATGCTTTATGTGGTGGACTACAGACATTTGTACATAAATGTTAAGAGGAAGAAAACTTTCCAAAATATCTGAAAACTATTGCAGTCATTTGTGTTTCTTCTAATACATGTACATAAAGATTCACTTAGATTTTTTAGATAATATTACAGAGCAAAAGGCTCATGAACACAAGGGATGCACCAGACAGGTTAGAGGTGAAAACTATGAGGAAGTTTAAAGCATGATATAAGATGGCATTACAGCAAACCTACTAGGGCTTTGTTGTCTATCTAAACTGACAGGAAAGGCAAGGAGTGCGTAATTCAGAAAGGCAGCCATGAGGCCCAAGGTAACTCTGGGAGAGCTGCAGAGACCCTCTGCTGAGCAGTTGAGACACACCATCCCCAAAGTGAAGCATGATGCTGCTTAAGATTTTGGAAAGTGGTTTCTTCAAAGCAGAGAAGAGAGTTGATTAGAAGATGGATGGAGTTAAGAAAAGGCAGTCAGAGGTTGTAAAATACTTGAGAAAAGAGTTGAAGTTCACCTTCCAGCTGGACAAGAACTCTGAAAATACAGCCAGAGTTACAATGCAATGTTTTTTTTTTATCAAAGACCATTTAATAATTTTCCTTTCATTTCGCAATTCTGCACTGCTCTGTGTTGGTTTATCACATAAAATCTATAATTACATAGACTTTAGCTATTGTAATAATTTATAATCTGATAAAGTTATTGAGGAATAAGAATAGTTTTTTAATACACATGCATTTTAAATGGAAGCTGAGCTTACATGGAATCTTTCTGGTGAATCAAATTCACCTTCAGTCACATAATTTTCCATCCCTTTCCAAATTTCTGTATGCTTTTGTACAAGTAACAGCTTGACTTAATAACTGACAGATTAAATGAGCATGCAACTTGGATGGAGGTATTGTTTCTCTCTTTTGCAAATCTGTGAAGAGAACCCTCATTCTTTCTTTTGCAGCCTCCTGTTCTTGCTCTCTCTCTCTCTCTACAATGGTTATCACTGTGTTTTTGAACTTTTTCCTCTTGATCTCTGTGCTACAGTGTCACTTGACTGCGAGTATTACTCTTGGGCTCCAAATGCAATCAGCAAATGCACAGTCTGAGGTCATTTTGTGCAGCTAAAAGTTTTACACTTCTATAATGGAACTTCCTTACTTCAGAATCATGACTGTAGTATCTGTGAAGTGCCCAGCATGTGACTGGTATGTGCATAGAATTGTAAAATCATGCATTATATTTCCCGACTTTATCATATAGTGAAAGGCAAAGGACAATATCAGTTTAGATGTGGACTTTAGATCTAGAGGACCCATAATCTTTACATGCTTATGAGCTTCTGTGTACAATCGGACGCCAGCTTTGCACTTTTATGAACAGCAATCTCCTACGTCTACTGCAGCCATTGCAAAATATGTTTATAAAAAGTGGACTAAAAAAACAATAGTTGCTTCTGCTGACTTACAGTAAATAGAGCAGCTGTACTGCAGCAGAGGAAGGTGAAGGTGGGAAGACTGAAAAGTAGCTTGTAAAATGTGTATAAAAATAGCTTTAAAGATTGTATGTTTGTTCATAAAACCTGTTTTTTATGCACCTTATAGATAAATAATTTTATATTACATTTTAGTTTAGTGTTTTAGGTTCTCAATATCAGTGCTACTGGGGACTGTGTCTATAGTCGGAACTAACTAGTAAACCTAAGTTTCTTTTAGAGCAACTTTTTTTTTTTTTTACCTGCCTGAGAGGAACACGTACTGAGGGAGGCATCCACAGAACATGCGCCATCTTGGCTGATTTCTCTTGATGTGGAGGAGCAGGAGCTCTACTCCAAGCCCATCTGTACAGATGCCTGCCCTCCCTGCTGGGAAAGCTCAGTTCAGCCTAGATATCACAGGTGAGGGAAGGAGTATGGACTGACCGGTAACTTGCCCTTCACCACTTCAGACCGATGCAGCATTTGCATTACAACAGCAGCTGCACCAGTCAATCTGTACCAACGTCCAGTTGAGTACCAAACACTGTTGTATTGACCAGTCAAACAAAGGACCTAAAGTTTCACTTGGACAGAACAGAAAAAGTTCAAAAGTTTAATTGAAAACTTCAAATGAGACAAGGCCAGTAACTTCCAGCAACACAATCTGGAACCTCTCAAGACACAAAACAAGGTTAACGATGAGGAATACAGAGATGGATCTAGTGCAGGGAACTGGGATGAAAGCTGATTTTAGATTCTTTCTTAGACAAAGCTGAAGTGACGTCACAGCAGGTCCACTGCCCTGGTGTCAGTACTCCTTTCAATGTGGATATATTTAGGAAACCAACAAAGGTAAATGCATTAAACTACAGGTTTTTAAACATGCGGACAAGAGATGGCTTGGAGGTCTAAGTCAGTACTGAGGTGAGAACTGTGAAGAGAGCAGTTATGGACTGGATCCATGGGACAGGCGGGAATCATAAAACCAGGGAACAAAAACTGGGTCGGAAAACCGTGGAAGCAGATAAAGGCTTATGAAGCAAAGAGATAGGCCTGACACCAGGAAGCAGATGTCAGGAGGCAGAAACGTAGCCGCTGTCCAGAGACGGTTGAGGGCTGGATGAATAGGCACTAGCACAGATGTTAAAGACTGGGAAAAGGCTGGGTCTGCACAGGTGGAAAGAATAAGGGATAATGATGCCAGGAGCGAAGCTGAATCTAAATAAACCAGTTACTTTGCCAGAATCATGAGATGGTTACAAAACCATCCTAGCAAAGATGCTAGAGAGGAGAGTCTGGCTGAACTTTGACTTCAGAAGCAGTGAGGTTTTCCTCTCTTTTTTCTTTTACTAAAAATCTGTCATGAAATGAGGACAAATTGACCCAGTATTCAAGGAGAGACAGTCAGTAGGAAAGTTCAAAAAGTTTATTAAAATAAAACAAAAACTGAAGAGGAGCTGAGGCTCATGGACACTGCAGGAGGGGGGCGGGGCACCGCCCAATCTCAGAGACTCTAAGGGAGAAACACAGGTAAGTGACCACGATCATCTGACTGAAGATGATGTTCTCAGTGAGTCACTTACTGTAGCTGGTTTAGCAGTTCAGTCCATACCCCTTGAGAGGGGTGCAATCCAGCCGATGGGCTGACAACTGACGCGGCTCGCGTTACCCAGAGTGTCCCCAGTGCTGCAGATCCGGAGGAGTTGCAGGAAGCCGATCCTGATCAGGGATACAGATCAGGCAGGAACGGACAGAACAGGTGGCAGGATCCAGGCTTCCAGGCAATAACAAAGCTCCGGGAAGGCTTCAGAGTCTGACAGAGTTCTGAAGCGTGACTAGGTGGTCACGC